GAGCACACCTCAAAGATGGAGGCAGTTTGCGTATGGTACTCCCAAGTAAACATTCATTCATTTTCTGCATCGGGGAGGGGGATGATGAGCCGGCCTGCGAGAGGAACGCAAATATTAAGTGAGCGACAACGGTAGACGGCAATGATCGATGGTGGCGGTGGTTTCGCCAAGAGGGGGGGGGGGGGGGGGGGGGAGCCATATAAGCCAAAGACTCGGTGGTGGGCAGGGACAGGCCGTACAGCTTGCGGAGAAGAGACCCGCGGGGGGCAGCCGTGGACCCCAATTTGGACCGAATTGAAAACAAAGTGAGGGGGAACAATTAACGGCGAAGAAATTATCCCAGACCATGATGGCCTCACTGTGCACTTCATTGCGAGTGACCTAGCACCTGCTGGCTGGAGTCTCTTCATTATTTGCCGGTGGTATATACATACAAGACGGGGAGCGGCACAAAAGAGCGTTTAAGAAAGGAAACTGTTGGTGGTGATTGCATGCTGAATAGGTGGGCCGGCTGCCAGCGCCGGGGCCCAGCGTGGGCCGATTGAGGCAATTAGAAATACAAGCGCTTCCCGCAGGCTCCGCCAATCCCTGCTTCCTCTCCCTAGGCCATCACATTCACTCTTTGTTTTCTGCGGCGGCTCGTAGGCACGCGGGGCCTTGCGCACATACCAGCAGTCCAACAAACGCACGCACACACACGTGCGGGTCGCACACAGGCACACGTGGGCTGGGGGGGGGGCGGCGCATGGTTGCGGGGATGAGAAAACGCCCAGTGCGCGCTTTTTATGAAACACAACGCCATTTAACACACGCACACGTACATGCACAGGCACGCGTGCACGTGCGCACACTGCCATGAATTTGAGCGTCACAACGCACGAGTGTTTCAGGACCGCACGATTGTTGCGCGATGTGGTAATGTGCACGCGGGCAACACGTGCGTGCCCACGGCCACCCGAAACCCGTGAGCGTGTGTACAGAAGGGGCCTATTTACGTCCGCTGCACAGATTCCCGTGCGACACCGCGCCCCGTTAATTAGCGGCCGCCGCATTGACCAACGCGGCAATTGATTTATGCTCTGTGGCTAAATGGCCGCTGTAGGGAAAACGGGCCACCAGTTGTCACAAATTGCCGCGTAGCAACACCTCATCAGCTGTGCTCGTGGAAATGGGCCGAAACAATCGACGGCAGTGTTGCGTCGGAACAAGATCCAGCTATGTTTACTACTCGATGTATACATGTTGATGAGAACGAGGTTGCTGTAGAAACCAGACATGGAATGCGTGGAATTAGTGTCCAAGGCAAGGTTATACATCCAATGGCTCCAGCCCACTTGTCATTAAACTCCGGTTCTCTGGCTACATTCCACACGGACCCTATTTATGAAGCTATCCGGCACTTAACAACGTTTCGGTGTCACGTTAAAAGCCTGCCAAGCACACGAGGCTGTTGTCGGCCATTCCCCCCCCCCCCCCCCCCCCCACGTGCGACAGATGCGTAGCTCACTGCTGCAGGTGAACTACAAATGGACTACAAATGGACTACAAATGGACGGATGCTGAGAGATGCCTGCATTGCTGCCAAGAGCATAATGTGCCCTCCAAACCTGACACTTCTGGACAAGTTAAAGTGTCACCGAATCACCGTCCATCTCTCCTCACTCACCGCTAAACTGAGTTTGTTAATAAATCAACCAGTTGCAGGGTGGACCCTTTTGTCACGTTACACTGCGGCGTGATGGATAGTGGGCGGTTCCTCCTGACATGTTTCACTTATCCTCGAAGAAGAGTGGCTCACACGAGCGGAGGTGCAATGGGCGTGACCCCACTAAGGGCTGCTGTCCGTTCTCCACAGTGCAGGTGCAGCCAATGCACCGGTAATATGCCGGTGTTTACACAATCCTCAATTATCGCCCTGAGCCACATCTGGGCGTGGGGAATTTTCAAAAAGCATGAGGCAGACTTGAACCTGGTCACATGAGTTCGAATCCCACGCCATGGCTCGCGTCAGTGGTGAGTGACATCTGAACCGGTCCTAGTTCCCCAATCACCAACCGGCATCGACCAGTGTGGTAAAGTATGGTCGAACAACCTCCAAGAACAATACAGTGTGAGGAGGCCTTCATTCAGCAGTGGATTCACAATCGACTACAAACAATGTTGTTTTTTATTTTCGGCGGACTAATCCAGCCTGGCAGAAAAAAAAAACACGTGCGCATCTACACCCGACACAGCAGGGTACCCTGCCGTCCAGCCCCAGCGCATCCCTCAAGTCACCCGGCTTGGGACACGGAAAAGTGTCAAAAATGCACAACACAAATAAATATGGCCACACGTGCGGACTCACTGTGACGGGGCGACGGAGCCAGCCCTGAGGCCAAACTGCCAGACAGTAATTGCGAAAACACTTACAGACTCTCGCCAGAAGCCATTACGGCAGCAAAGTGCGCATTATGCGGGGCTGGGTCCCTGGCGCCGGAAGATTAACTGGGCCGCCGTTTGCAGCTGAGCTTCTACGCTGGACAGGAGGAGGCGCGCCGAACCCAACGCCGGGGTTGGCCGCGGCCAAACAGCGCGCCGGTGATTGTGTTGGCGATCGGAGCGGCGATAATGACGGTGGCTGGAATAATGGTGGTGGCGGCGATAGTGACGGTGGAGGCAAACTCAATTTCTATCGAGTTTCTGCGCTACCAATGGCAAAGATCAGAATCAAAATAATAATAATTATTGGTGAAACTTCGATTTAAAGCTTTTGTGACTGCAGGGATTCATCTTCTTGGTTCTTTCGGTAAAGTCATGTAGGAGGGAAATAATAAAATAATAAAAATAAAACATAATAAAATAATTCTCACGACGTTTCGGCCACAACGCAAGCAGCCATCGTCAGGTGAAGAACAGGTCTTTCCGACAGACCTGACAGCGTCTTTCCGACAGACCTGTTCTTCACCTGAGGACGGCTGCTTGCGTTGTAGCCGAAACGTCGTGAGAATTATTTGATTATGTTTCATTTTTTATTATTTTATTATTTCCCTTCTACATGACTTTACCGAAAGAACCCAGAAGATATTGGTGAAACGTCGTACTCGAATTGTAAATGTTGTGGGTTTATTCTCCAACACACCGGTGTGCTGAACTAGTAACGAATCTGCATGTTTTGTTTACGTGACAAACCTTTCTACTTGGCTGTGTCGGGTGGTGGCGGGTTTAACGACATTTGTATATTTACGCGATCTAACCCAAAAAACATCTATTATGGATATTAATTTAGAAAATATATTGATTCAAAGCGTGTGCCAACTGACTGCTGGAATCCCAATGCACAGCAATGGAATACTGATCGTCTCCTTTATGAAAATAACAAACGGACAAAGGAGACCAATGTACAGTTTATGTATATATATTAGGTGATACGCATTGACCCAGACACTGTTATAATCCAGTTGTGCACAATCACTGACGAATGCATCCCGCGCGTGCAAATTAGGGAGCACGACCGTGAACTGTGTTCAAATGTTGTGAAAATAAGTGTGGCTCCATGGAGCCACGGGGAGCAAAAGTGGCTGCTTCATAAGGGTAGGGAGCAGTTGAGGCGGAGGAAAGTGGGGGGTGGGTGAAGAAAAAAAAATCATCAAGAAGGAATGAAAGTTGTCCGCTCGTTAATCGCCTGCTCGTTAATGAGCTGCTGGCGTTGGCTCGGACCCTCAGAGGTGCCTTACCAATGGCTATTTAAATATAATTCTTCATTCAATCAAAAGGCATTGCTTACCTTAGCCCTCCGCTGCCCTCCAAAGGCCACAGCTGCCGCCCCGCCCGGCCAACAAAAGCAAGCGGCGAGAAAAAGCTCACGACACACAACCTGCACCTTCGCCAAAATCGCTTGCAAATTGACCAAGCACAGCTTCACCTGTCGATCACAATTTATTCTCCCAACTCCCAGCAGCGTTAAGAGCCACATGGGAACACTCTCGACTGCATGCAATTCATTTTCCCTCTGCTTTTTTGCAGAAAGAAATGTGCAAGTCAATTTTTTGCGGCAATCTCAGCACGAAGATCTCAATGCATGCTCGCTGCCCGATTCGTGAACCTTCAACGTTTTTTCACGTGGATGCAACGGCACGTTGTACACACGCTGCTGTGCTAAAGTAGCAGTGATCGACGTGTGTGTGTCGCCAAGACTCAACGCTCCTGCTTAAAACGTAGACTGAACCTAGTTGCACAACTCATTAAACGTCACTTCCACTGCGCCGTTACCGGAGCAGTAGAAGCCGCTAAACAATGACACGTGTGTGCAAATGCCAACAGGTCAAATTCCAAAAACGAGTGCATTTTTACTCTCACTCAAGAGGGTCAACGAGTTTTTTTTGCCTGCGCTCTTCCGGCAACGGATGTGGGAAGAGAAGCTGCCTGCGCACCGGCGCAATCCGCGTTTAAAGCCGGCACCTGTGTGTGGCGCTGGGCCCTCTCGGCACACTGCCCAGCTTTCGGCCCGTCGCACGTACTCTCACGAAACGCACAAACGCGTACGCGCGGCTCCTTCGCGCACGGACGTCCGGACGTACGTACGTACAGATGGACAAGCAGAGGGACAAATGGGCGAACGGGACTAAGGGCCGGTGAGTTTCCCCCCCTCCTGTTGTCCCGTCACAGCTGGCTGCCCATCTGGCTCCTGTTTTTCTCGCCGACGCTATTAATTCCCCAATTATTACCTCCCTTGCTTCCCCCCTCCCCCCCGCATGAAATCTCATTCTGACTGAAAAAGCACAGGGAGCAGGAAAGAACCCCTTGCTTAAATAGTGCATTATGGGAAAGCAATTTTTAAACATTATACAAATAGTAATAACACAACCGCAAAGTAAACTTGGGGAAATCACGGGGCGAGGAGGCCGGCGAAAATCTCCCCCGTCCCCCCCCCACCCCGAGTGTGGGGGCATGGGAACCGTGTGGGGGGGCCGGGGAGAGGGAGGGGGTTGGGAGGGGGGCCAGGGGGGGCAGCGACTGACCTGGCCCGACATGTCCGGCGCGAGGGGGATCAGCGGCCACAGCGCGGAGTAGATGAGGAAGAAGACGATCCACATGGCGATGCTGCCCCAGATCGCCAGGTGTGTGAACTGAAGAGGACAACAAATCGGCTCAGAAAACTATTTGTGCGTCTTTTAATGAATGATATCATGCACCTGAGGCTGTATTGCAGTGCCTCATACTTTTTGATTTCTCTATAGATATTTCCAATTTAAATATGTATATAAAATACCAGTTAAGTAATATTAAGTATTTATTTTATTATTCATATGTAGTTATCTACTTTTGTGATGCATGAATAATTATACATTAAAAAAACAACCATACATGAAAATAAAACCTTGTTCAGTCCGTTTAATTGCATCAATTTGACTGCGTAAATTGTGCATTCCGCATGGTATGGGTGCGACGCTACCTTAGTCCACGCAGATGTCACGAGCCCAGCCTTCAAACATACCGTGATGACTACGTACTAAAAACAGAAATGAACAAGTTCATGGAGTGAGTCCACATCTCACTCCCGCACCTCCGATTAACGCGGTTGGCTTCGTAAGGTACGAAAGAAGTTCAACATACAGTACATAATCCTGCTATTCGTGTCATAACTGCAGCCCGCAAATTTCCTTGAAGTCTGCCAGTCAGTTATAGAAAGCACCCACCAATCTGAAACTACGTCACATGACAGCGGTGGTCATATTGGGCCATGGGCCTACCATTTGAAAAACTACCACCGACGATATTTATCCATCACTGCGAGCATCTGAGACGCAAAAGTCGGGAAATGGAAAATATTTTGGACGAGGCAACACGGCGACAGACGTGGCTGTGGGTTATGGTGTACGCTGGGTTTACACATACAGATCACCGCCTTCGACTGGCAGACAAACACCAGGTGCCGAGCCACCTTGTGTCCACAGGGACAGCTCCCAATGGGGCTGCCCTATCAGATGTTTTAGATGAGATGTACAGCGCTCTGAGACGCCCCGTCGTTTCGGAGAGGCGCTCCATCCAAAAACAACATTTTTATCGTTATTATCCCTACATCTCCAAATGAGAGGTGTTCTGGGGGGAAAAAATACTCAATACCCACAAAATCCCATTGTCCAGGATGCAGGCTTTGTTGAGAGCAGGCGGATTTAAGAGGATGGAAAAGAGTGTATTAAGCTCATTGTGCGGCCATCCGTGGGAGAGATGATGCAATAAAACTTGACAAAAGTTAATTGTGAAGTGTTCAAATGAAGCTCGAATTGGTTATCTCAATCTATATCCACGTGGGCGATCAACCTTTTTTTTCTCCAGGAAACCCCTCAAATGTGAAGGGTTCATACGGCAGGAAATGTTTAAGCGGGCGTGCGTGTTACACGAGCTCCCGATGTAGGAAAACGGCGGACAATATGCAAATAGGGGGTCAAAAACAACAATAATGGTGCCCAGAATTCATTGCTAACACGTGTATGCTCTACAGAAGCGATGTGTGGCCACACACAGCCACACACGCTCCCAAATGTCGGGTGTTTAGTCGTGGACTTCTCAATTATCGTTGGGGGGGGAGGGGATTTTACTTGAAAAACACAAAGAAATCTCCTAGCACTCTAGGCAGTCAAAGTTTACGACTCGCTTTGTGTGGGATCACGGGCGAGGCCGCTGCTCTGGGTCAGGCTACCTTCACGGATTTCGATCAGCACCAACAGTGGTGCCTTTTTCCAATCACCATCATCTACAATTCAAAGGTCTAACAATGTCGAGTACTCACGATCGCAAAACTTTGAGAACATATTTTACCACGTAACAAAATTATTATTCTCTTACCAATGTAACAGCAACCTGAGGTTGGTTCCCAGCCATGGCTAACATCAGTGGTCAGCGATAGTTGAACTGAGCCAAGGCTTCTTCCCTCTCTTCACAAAAACCCACACTGACCAGCATGGTAAATTATGGTGAAGTAAACGCCATAACTCATATGGCCCTCATCCATCAGTGGATTGACAAATGGCTGTACATTTAACCTAAACAAACTACGGCAATATATCTTCTGCATTTTTAGCGCCATACCAAGGTTGCATAAGTATTTATGAACGCAGCATTTGTACGTAGATTATACACGTTATTTTGCAGACAAAATCCTTGTAGTATTTCGAGAATAAATCTTGCTTACCGTATAAACCATGTTGCCCAGAAAGAGATTATCGACCACCTGTCCATTTCGAAACAGTGTGCCTGGAAAATGAAAGCAAGGCAAACGTGAGACCAGAATCCTGCATGGCCAGATTCAAAACACACATAAACATTTTGTTGGACTGCATCGCTGAACTTTGCAGACTGTGGATGATACGCAGTAACTTTCTCTGCACGAATGTTTGGAAAATTGCATCAATATTTATGTGGGACCAACATTTGTATTTCCTGAAGGGCTTCGCAAAAAGAAATAGAATATTGATGAGGACAAAAAAAAGACAACATTAACTATTTACAAAGCATCTTTTAAACGATGGAGTTTCGAGCTCAAAGCGGATATTTAATGTTGTCTTCGATGTAGTAAAAGATACTTATTTCAACGAAGGAATAATAAATTACAAGTTCAGACCACAAAAAATACTGCTTTAGAATTTCCTCTGTGTACCTCTGCCTAGGCCTCACTCAATAATCACACACATTTCCTGGCCGTGAATTATAATAATAATAATGTGATCTACTTACTAAAAAAATATATCATAAACATAGACACAAGGTCCACAGATAGTCAAAAAATGTACCGCACATTAACATTATTAATACTTAACAGCGGCGATTAGAAAATCTACACTGTGCGATAAAAAAATAAGGTTAAATATATTTTTTGTCGTTGTGAAGACTGCAAGTTTAGCCTTTCAAACAAGTGCACGGACACACGCGCGTGCACGCGCACACACACGCGCGCACATTCACCCGCACACATTCACCCATCAGCGAACGCAACCGCAGACAGAAACACGCTCACACGGGGACAACCCACCGCTGCTCCGTATGCTAATTTCACAAATCATTCTAGAGAAACGCGTTTCTGTTTTCCCCACGAGTCGGCTCAAGCCTCCCCCCTCTCCCCCCACCCCCCCGTCGTCCGCGCATCCACCTCGGTTTCTCCCCAGACACAGAGAGAGAGCCAAGCACATAATACCCAATTTGCATTCACACCACACGTAGCGCAAGGAAGACGGGCCAAGTGTTTATTTCCATATGAAAACGTCCATAAGGGTGACCCGGCCCCCATTGGAGATGCAGAGATGCCTGGTGTCGGCCGGGGGGGGGGGATCTCTGTCAGCCCCTTGCAGTCTCCCCCTCACTACCCCCCCACTACCCCCCCCCCACACCCACAAAATAAATTAACCATTAAGTTGCACAACTCGCAAAGCTCAAATGTGTTTTGTGATAAGTATAAAAGTTAAAGTGGATATTGTTTAATGTATGGGTCTGTGCAAGTTTGGCCATTTTTTACTTCTCTGTGCAATTGATGCGTGCAGATTTTGTGTTTACCCAGTTTAAGTAACTCGTGGAAAAGTGAGAGAATGGGACGAAAGAGAGCAAGCACGTCAATCGAGCTGAGCTCCTCCACAGGAACATTTGCGATGACATTTAAACTGCCGAGATATGGCCATTACTTTCTGGACAATTAATTCCTACATTTAAACACAAGTGTGCAATTTTTTGGCGGTGCGTTACTGACTGCAGGGCCAACCTGGACTTATACCGAGGAATAATCCCAAATAGTTTTTGGTGTTTGGCCACCACTTATCCTTCCAGGCCGCCCCAGCCGCCCTCTCCCCCAGACCGCTTGGCCAAGAAGGACACACAAGGACACACAAAAAGGAAATACAAGGACACACAAGGACACATGAAGGACACATAGAAAGACGCACATGAAGGAAACACATGAAAGACACACATGCCGTACTTACACAAGGATATGCGGTAACCATGGAGAGGCGCTCCACTAAATATCCATTCCACTCGACGATAAGACAGAACCAACGTACAAACACCCGCACGACTCGCACGACTCTAAAGACGTCGCGAAATGGAAAACAGAGAACGAAATGAATTGCCACGCCACGCTCCCCACCGCACGCCCACCAAGCTTCCCGGGACTAGAGATCCGCACGGAAGGGGAAGGTACACATCCAACAGTGGATGGGCAATATCTATATATAAATGCCACAACCACCTGGTTTCCTACTATATCGGTTGGCCGGGATGAGGGCTACGTATGGCCTCCTGCTACTCAGACATTTACAGAGACCCTTTTTTGTAAGCGAAACCACGTACACGCCCACCGAGGTCTGGCCCTCCCTGTGTTGGCTGCACAGAGAGGCCATTCTTGTGAACAACTTTATAGGGGGGGGGGGTTGTGGGAGGGGGGGGGAAATCAGCGGGCAGGAAAAAGTTGACTCAAGCATGTGCGCCGTCTGCCATTCATTGTTGCTTCAGCGCGTGTTGCTTCAGCGCGTGATGCTCAAAACGGTCTTCATCGGTAGCACTAAAACCACGTGGTGAGAATCGGAAGGGCCGAACTTCCATCGCGATATTTTCATTGCTAATGTGCCATTTTTTTGACATCGCGTAAGTGACGTTGAGAGGCTTTTCCTGCGTCAGGCTCCATTTCTTTGGAACTGCTTCTTGTGTTTAGTTTGCTGTCCTTCTCCTGCACCTCCGATTAGCACGATTGGCTACGTACGGCGCGAAAGAAGTTCAGCGTCCACGCGTCACACTTGCGCACTGTGGTTATTCGCTTAAGGCTGGTTTGTTTTTTCGGAACGTGTTTTAGAAGAAGAAAAAAAACACATTAAACAGAAGATCAAGAGCTGGAATGTTAACGTGGCGTTTCTTATGAGGGATGCAAGTAAACAAAAGCGGCCATCAAAGGTCATGGGGTCACATGAAATAGCCGACACAGGGGACCAATGGCTGCCTCCCCAAGCCACCCAACTCCTTCAGCCACGATGTAAACATTAGCCTTCTATTTATTTAAATTTGAAATAAGGTGGGCAGAATTATAAACACACACACACACAGGCGCTGAGGACAAGCCACCTATTTCACAGTGTCAATGGCATTTCACATTCGACAAAAACGCAGCTACCGTACTGATGAGTTCTGAAGAAATAACGCAATCCCCAATTCAGTTACTCTGGACTCGTTAATTATGCTATTGAAAAGTTCCTTAAACTTGTAATGAATGCATAAAATGGCACGTGTAAGAGTCAATCTGTTTACATTCGTATGTGTTGTAAGTAACGAGTTTGGGTCAACCGGGCCAGCCAATGGCGGCCGATTACATTTGCCGCAACGTTCAAGGAAGAATTAAGGAATCAACTCTTAACACTGAATTGCGACGTGGAATCACAAAAATGTATCAAAATCTCCAGGGAGAAACAACGAATCATTACGCCTCTGGTTGCCTTCTACTGACGTTGTGCGCAATGTTTTTCCTTCACCGCATCCATTCGCTCGTTCCTTTCTTCCAACATTACCCCTGGCCGTGTGGGTCATGCTCAGGTTGCGGTGGCGAGATGTTAACTACCTCGCCTGGTATACAGGAAATCGGGAGCTCGATCCCGACCGACCCTGCCGCCTGCTGTATATTTGGCGTTTGCATGTTCTCCCCGTGGTCACATGGATTTTTCACCCGGGTCCTCCGGTTTTTCCCTCCGCATTTAGAATCAACATCACGCATTTAGAGTATTTGGTGTCGAGAGTATATATATATTTACGCGATCTAACCCAAAAACCTCTATTATGGAAGTATTTGTCTGCTATAAATTTCGACGTGATAAGCCACTTCATTGGGCTACCATTTGTGGCCAGGCCACTTCTGAAAAAGAGCTTTATACCTCAGTGGGCCTTACCTGGTAAAATACAAATAAAAAGTTTAAACAGTAAATAAGTGAGACACGGGCTATGGGGGCCGCCCCCTATGCCCATGGGTGGTGGTGCGAGCGCGACATCCACGCAGTCAAGCGGTCACATCCTCACGTACCGTACTGGAGCATTTTCAGTGGGAACCAGAATAAAAAGATGGAGTCCAGAAGTCCATTGAAACAGTGACTCCAGAACACCTGGTAAACACAAAGCCAAAGCATCCCTGCAGCATCATCTTTTTACGGGGGGGGGGAGAACAACACAGTCAATGTAAAACACTTTAACGGCTGCTTGCGTTGTGGCCGAAACGTCGTGAGAATTATTTAATTATGTTTTATTTTTATTATTTTATTATTTCCATTCTACGTGACTTTACCGAAAAAACCAAGAAGACTTTAACAAATATTAAGCTCACCAAGCGGATTGATTTGGTCTATCACGCATTCTGTTCTATCATGTAGGTATTGTATGTTGAACTTCATTAGCACCGTATGTAGCCAACAACCGGGCTAATTGGAGCCAAGGCTGTACCTATTTTGTTATTGACTGTAATATTTAGAAGGGGGGGGGGGGTGGGCTGAACTTTTCAGCAGGGCAGGGTGGGTGGGGGCTAGACCCCCCCCCCCCCCACTCCAGTTGCCCTGACCCACTGCAGAGCTGTACCAAAGGAGGCAGCAGCAGCAGCAAAGAAAATGCAGAAATGGGGAAATGGTTGAGGAGGGAACGGGAGGCTGTGGTTTTGACGCGGTGACGTTTGGGACGTGGAGGGAGAGGGATTGCCGACGATGGCCGAGGGGTAGGTGGTGAGGCGCGAGAACGAGGGCGATGATTAGATGGTGGGTGGTGAAGGGGTGAGCGGGGCGACGGTTGGGCCGTGTGTGTGTGTGTGTGGCGTGTGGGGGGTGGCGGAGGAGATAAAGCCGGGAGAAGTAGAAAAAAAAAAGGTCAGCGGTGATTAAAACTAGCGACCTTTCTTGGCCTCTGACCCTGTGGAGAGGAGGGCACATCCTGAATGCATACCTACGGGAGGAGAAAGGGCTAAGGCCAGGCAACCCTGGGTCGTCATATATTTTGAATAATTTAAACATCGGCTGCATGGCAAATAAACACGTTTCCAACTGAAATTGCACTTGTTTAAACTATTTAAATTCAAGTTTTACTTCAAAAATCAAGAAAAATAATGACGGGAAAAAAACGGGGGGGGGGGGGTGGGAGTGGCGGTGAGGGGGGCTCTTTATTTTCCCGTCCGCTCCCCTCGCGTCTTTCCCTTCCGCTAGCGCGCCGTCGGAGCCCGCTTGCTGCGGCAGGTGTCCCGCGGTGCCGACAAGCCGGGCCTACACCGGCAGCTGTCACTCAGCGTTCGAGCAGGGCTGGAAATAGCTGCCACCGGAGCGCCCGTGTGCGTGCGTGCGTGCGAGCGTGTGTGGGTATGTTTACACGTGCCAAAGCGCGCGCACGCCCACGCGCGTGCGTGTGTGTGGCCACTTAAGGTTTGAAGTGCTCGATGTGTGACTGAGAAATGACGAGTTCCACCGGGGTACCGAAGTTGGACAGCAACTCGGCTTGCCGTCGTGCACCAATCAAGCACTGGCAATTAAGTGTGGCGGTGGCGTGTGTGTGTGAACACGTGCGGATTCTTTGCCTTCCCGCACCAGGGGTGCCTCACAGCCGCCGTGATCAAAATAAACCGGCCACCCACAATGGTAAAGCTCAAAAGACTTCTCAAATGTGTACACCTCCCCCCCCCCCCCCCCGCTTGCATACACATTCATAAAGTAAAAAAAAACTCCTACCTCACAAGCGGGCACTGTCTTCTGACCGTTCTTCTTTAATATCAGCCGCTCTACTTTTAACATTACACGATACATATTTCCACCGCACTTTCAATAACATATGCACATCTTCTAAGCCAGCACTCAGCGCATATTTCATCTCAGACAAAGCATCAGTCTCCCCGCACAAACAGAATTGACCTTCATTTTAGAGTTGCTTTCTGCCCCGTTTGAGTCTCACCGTCAGCAGCCATTACAACCGATCAGCCCATCTTAATCGCTTACATTACATGACCCGCATTCCCGGTCGCTCTGGATTAAAAGCAGCTTGCCCCTACTCAGCAAAACTCTTCCGCCCCCGGCAGCAGCTGGTGTTAACGGAAGGAGCTAAGGGATCAACATGGGACGGAAGCGTGGAGGTGTTCATACGGTAGTTCTCCCTCGCTAACTGTGACCGCCCCCCCCTCTTCCAACCCACGCAATTTTACCCCCCCCACTCCTTGGTCCTGAAGGTGCGAGGCAGCAGCGGGAGGGGGGGGGGGGGCTCCCGCACGTAATTGCATCCAGCCTCGTCACCCCAACTTCCGGAGCGGTTCAGGGGTCTCGGAATGAAGACGATAATGTTTTCCTCCCTGCGGCGAAACTGAAATCGCGAGAGGGCTTAACGGCAGCTTACACATGTCTGCCGCAAGCAGGGGGCTCACGGGGCATTGTTCCGAGACACGACACCCCGCCGGCCCGGCTAATCCATGCCTAATCTTCACTACGCAACCCCGCAGAGCTCCCAACCACATCCCCACTAAACCCGAACTAACTAACTATCGCGCCCAACCCCGGAAACACACCGCCGTCACGTCGCCGTTCATTAGCACGGCACACACATACTGCACACACGTAACCAAAATAGCTAATCACTTCGCCACACGCGATTACTGTAATTGATCATTAACTGGGGTTGGGTGGGGGGAAGGAGGCTAGATTTTTGTAATTATTATTACTTAATCTATACATTGTAAGCAAGAAGACCAGGCAGGAACCAATTACCTTCAATTGGTGAAACATGATGAGGACGGCAAAATAATAAGCACATTGTGGAAAATAAATTGGCCCCTAGCAAGATCTGTTACAGCAGGTACAACAATCTGCCTGGAAACGTGAAAAAACAACAGACCCACGACTCAAATGTATCATTATTGTGCAACTGCTCTCGCAGGGTGAAGCTAACCCAGCAGGGAGAGGGTTAACCGCACGGCCAGATTATATTATGAGAATTTTTTTTTGGCTGCTGCTGCTGGGAGGCACCCTGGTGCCTCTCCTAATTGGCGCATTAGGCGTGGGGTGAATCCAGGCTGCTGTCTGTCAGACGAACCCATCAGCGGTAGCCACGAGCGTTTCGCTCCATTAAACTTTAAATCTGTGTGGCGGCAGAGAGGAACAAGCGGTTAGGGCCTGCCCCCCCCCCCCTCCAACCTTCTTACCCCTCGTACCCTTCACGTCACCCTCACACCGCCTCCCCCCCACGGCCACCTTCAGCCCACGCACCCTCGGCTCCAAAAGCTTCGGGACAGAAGCTAGCGAAGGACCATGGCTTTGCCAGCACGTGCCTGCCCGACCGATGTCCCGGAGGAGACAATCGGCAGGCCAGCCCTGCATATTAAAGTTCGTAAAAACATCACTGATCAGAGCATGAAGCCCGATTGAAGTCCTGCACACCCAACAGGGTTGCGTTTGTCCGAACTGTTAAGAGTCAGCGGTGGTGTTCAACGTGGAAAGAGTTGCACTGTCTGCGCCATGTCCAGAAACTTTAATAACGCTTGGACTTTGAACTTCAGAAGGGCAATTGTTATGAACGTTAAAGAACTTTGGATGTAAGTATGTATGTTGAACTTCTTTCACACCGTACGTAGCCAACCATGCTAAACGGAGGTGCGAGGCAATAACAATGAAGAATGACCACAACTGTGGTGGCGATGATGTCGGTGATGATGGCGATGATGAGCAGCGAGAGAGGCTGATTACAACGGTAATGATCGTGATGATGGCGCCCCGTGAATACCTTGGTGTTGAAGACCACTGCATTCTGAGACATCTTGTAGAGCTCAGGGAAGCGCAGCATGCTGTTGGCACTGCACATCTGGTCGAATATCCCCAGGGCAAAGGGCGGCAGGGCCAGGAATGCCTTGAGGATAACAAAAACAACAAACAACAAACAGACGCATAAAAACCCCTGCACGTGCGTGCCCGCAACACTGTCCCCATGTCAAGTTTTATGAAGGAAAAAATACATCTTCATTAAAATTGGCCATAAATATATAAGTTTCTGCATCGATAAAATACTACCAGAATGCACAGCATGTCTATGCAGAGTACAGACAAACTAATTTCTCCAGAACCGCTGTTTGTGTTGACTTTGTCGTCTTTCCCTGCACCTTCGATTAGCACGGTTGACTACATACGGTGCAAAAGAAGTTCAGGACACACATGTACAATGAAGGGAGCAGTAGTGGAGTTGTTAGCGTAATGTGCTATGAACTCGGCGATGTGACCTCAATTCCCGGGCCAGGGCTAACATCGGTGGCGAGTGATATCTCAAGCGGTACTCGGTGCGTCCGCATCACCGGCCCGCACTGCCCAGAGAGTATGTTCAAACAACCCCCTGGCGATCGGCACAGCGTGGGGGAGGCCTTCACCCGAGCCAGGTATTGAAACATTGCCAAAAAAAATTATATTAATATTTTATTGCATACAATTTGTATTGAAGCCAGGTTGCGCACGATACACACATTCATACCGTTCAAACTGTATGCACTGGAAATACATCACAACGTGCAGTCTCTCCAGTTTGCCACACACAGAGTACCCAAAGAACACAGACAAACCCAATTATGGTACCAAAACCGGATCGCGTGTCTATGGTAAGAGGCCAAGTAATAATTCCAGCTTAGCCCTGTTTGCATGAACAATCCGTATAAGCAGGCCGATGCGAAAGAAAAAAATAAACCCTTTAACGACCGCGAACGTTGCGTCACCTGTAACCGACGGTCGCGCCTTAAAGAAGCTACTCGCACGGCTACTTACCACGTTGTAGAGGCCGATGCACCACCGTTCAAAGAGGATCTGTCCAGAGAATCCGCTGTTGAAGGCAAACCAGAGCTGAAAAAAATAATAACAGAAATTAAGTTTGAGTCAAGCAGCTTACATGCGGTGAGTTAGAACCCCTGTTCAGCACGACCCTTTTGTTGCAGTTTGAAGACACAGCATTTCGTTATCGTGTTATGCCAGGGCTTCAACACAGGATTTCATAAATTATGTCCAAGTTCTGTTGTGTGTTATATCACATCACATGAACAGAACATAAATCTGAGTCGTATAAATAACCCGAATTTTATCATTGGCGCAATAGACAGTATTTTGTTCTGAACATTTTCACAACTGCTGGTACTCAAATGAATAATTAATAAATTAATGTGCAACTCTTGATTAATCCACTGTTGGATCAAGCTTTCCCATGCTGTGTGAGTCATGGGCATTTAGTTTCTCCATACTTCACCATGATGGTGAGTGGGTACCCAGGACCAGTTCAGATATCAACCAACACCGCTGTCAGCCATAGGCAGGATACAAACTCAAAGTCGCCGGGACCATAATGCAGTGCGCTAAATGCTGCGCCACGACCCCATCTCGGCACACACAATGTACTAACCTTTACCATTAGTACCAAATGCAGCATTTGGTACTAATGTTCAAGGGAGTGCAGACTCTTATGAAGAGTGAGCTTCTAAAGGCTTGGCTCAAAATGAAAAACAATGACATAGGTAATAAATAAAAGCATTTGTCACAACAACGGTACCAACTGTTGTAAATAAGTCATCATTCCTCCAGCAACTTCTGTAAATATTTAGTCTTTTTAAAACTTGCGAGCGTGACAATGTCAAACTCACGCAGACAGTTGAAGTGGACCTGTGTTCATAAATCCCCTGTGGAAATGCGAGAGATGTTCGGGCTGCAATCAAATCTGTGAGATCTGCGAGTATTAAAACGTAATTTTTTTGTTCAAACCAAACTTTTGGCTTAATGTGAGCAAGATGTGAGCTTGCTTTTTTTTTGGGTAAATGAAACTCTGCTCCAAAAGTTGCAGAGCCCCAGGGACAGTCACGTGCCCTAAGTGGAGACAGAGACCGGGATTGTTGACGAGGCTCCCGAGATAACACGTGCACGGGACAAGGACAGATCTGAGGAAGAGCAGGGCAATACAACAATAAAATAAAAACCCCGAGCAAAAAAACGTGTCTGTTCAAAACCCTTGCAATGATGCTACAATACCATACCCGTATTCAAAAGCCAGGCACGAGTGTTCACATTTTTGATCGTTTTTCCCAGCCACCCCCTCTTCTGGTCCCACACGGCTCTCAAAAGTGCACGGCTCAGTAAGCCAGCCAACACGGTAAGGGACGATGGTGTTTGTGGTCATTGGAATGGTATTGACCTGTCTGGCGCGCCTACAGCTTAAGAATGCAACACGTGTAGAAATGTGTTCTATCCAATTTGCCATCAAAATGGTTTACATCATGTCCAGTGTAAACACTGCACTTTTTGTACCCTCCTTGTGGGAGTACATTCTTCTTCAAGGCAGTTTTAGAGGTAAAATGCGGTGCAAGTTCTATTATTGCTGTGGTCGTTGGCTAACGATTTTGACAACAAACCCAAAAAACTCACACTTTTATCAAAGTAATGCTTGGCGGGGCACAGGAACTAAAATATTCAAATGAAGTAGAGAAAAACATTTATGTAATTTGCCAGCTTTAATCGGACATTAAAAAAAAAGGTTCTCCCTCGCTTCCCTCCGATGCAACCCTTGGCCTCTTCCTCTCCCCACCCTCTCTTGGCGTTCTCCTAAATTAATCCAAGGGCCGACTGACACCCGCCCTGCAGCGAGCGAAACGCCAGAGCAAATCTCCGAGCGCGGTCAAGTCCGGGCCACGAGGGCTTCCTTTTCTGACCGTCTGGATTTTAATTAGCGAGACGATGGGGGGGGGGGGGGGGAGGCGGCCCCAAAATGTGTCCTGCTCGACTGCTGCCACTGCTCTCTCACTGCCGCCCCACCTCCTCCCATGCACACGCATCAGCCTCTCACCCGCCAGTCCAGTCCTTCGAGGGCGGCGAGCGTGTTCGCCCGATCGCTGCGGCGGACGCCCCCGATTTATTGCTGCGCCGTCCGCTTCACGGTGGACGTTAAAAGATCCCCCGACGTCATTCGCAAGACGAGGCCATTGGGTGCCAGCCAGGCCTGAGCGTCCAAATTTGGCATTACTCGAGAATTGCACCGCCAATTATTCAAATTGGGATTAAACACAGCAATCATCGCCCGCCTACTCTCAGACTATTTATTGCCCCTAGGTCATTCTTGCAAGTGAGACTTTATCCTGGTCCCTTTAGTTCTCACCTGGTTAAAATCAAATTAAAACTCTATCCGGCGAGCACTTCAAGTCTCACCGCACAATGGATGCGCAACATCCGACCACGCCCACCGCGGGTTCAACAGCTTCTCCTGAATAAAGCGGGGAAATGGGATTCCATGGATTGTATTTCTTATGCCCGCCACCCCCCCTGCCCAACAACCCCCCAATCGCCCCTGTCCCTAGCCACTGCACCCCACTGACACCAACTGCCACGTGCCTCAGCTCCCAGAGGTCCCAGATATTTCTGGTGCCCGTTTGGAGCTCCAAAATATGGCACATCACCTCTGATTTATTTCTTGGAATGTGGGTGCAGTTAAACTTGCTCAGTGTCATTCTTCCTCTTGAGTCTATAATGAGTATTGTTTACCCGTGTTAACAGACATATTTACACGTTTTTGTGACAGTTGACGCAAACAAGAGATATATTAAACAAAATCAACGCCACATTAAAAGCCACGAATGTCCGTTTCTAAGCCTGCAGCTCAGCCCATTTGTAACTGAAGAAGCAACAGAGTGCACACTTGTAAACACACCACGGGCTACGTCGGCCTGTACACATCATGATAATGCTACAGAAAAACAAGGAATCAAGTTTAAGTCATATTTGGGAGAAATATTGTTTAAATCAAATCTTTCCCGACCTCACAATACACAAATTATGACAGTGGAAACATACGCTTTACAAGGTTATGCACGCAATTACGTGCAAACTATATGCTCACGTGATAATTCGACCGACTAATGTCTTGAGCAAAACCAGACTTATGAGACAAATAAAATGAGACAAAGTAAATGGAAAAACAAATAATAAAAATTATAGAAATAATAATAGAAATAAAATAATTAATCACGACGTTTCGGAGGCAACACAAGTCTCCGAAACGTCGTGAATTATTGTTTTTATTGGTATTATTTATTTTTACCTACGTGACTTTACCGAAAAAACCTAAGAGCCTTGCAGTCACGAAAGCTTCAAATTTAGAATTAAATGAAAAACAATGTAAAGGACACAATACAAACGAGACAAAAAAGCATCGTACTCCTGCACAGTTGTGCGGTACAGACCTCCGAATTTTTTCCAGGCTGCGCCACGCTGTTGTTCGGCACGATGCTTAACATATTTGGGTTGTACCAAAACAACAAATTGGCACATCCCGAGAGCTAAAAGAGAATTGATTCTTAAATCGAATAACAACCATTACTCGTGACAATCCATAGTGTGTGGTGAGGGGGGGGAGAAGGAGATAAATCATCGCCAGAAGCAGGATATTTATTTACACTGGAGATATCCGATGAGCGATACAACTATTTTTCACAGATGTCCACAGTCAGGGGCATCACCTCTTAACGACTAAACTCAACGGGCCACGATGTCACCGACACTTTATCACACCACACTCTTTGGTACTTTCCGTTAAGTCACGTAGGTAGAACAATTATCACACCAATCAAAAGTCGTTGGAAAATATTCATGGGAAATGTTTATTTTTAATAACTGGTAGGTTTTTTTTTAGTTAAGCGCCTCGGCCTAATAAAGGGTTTCGCTGACACACAAGGGACCATCTCAGCCACGTTCAGGGCTTTGGCACCGCAGCAGCAGCCTAACCAAAAAGCACTGGCCAAGTGTAGGTAATATACAAGTAAAATATACAAGTAAAACCATTTACAGAACTGTGCAAACAGGTACAATTAAAAACGGCCAGAAAATACTCTGAGTTTTGGCCTACTTTCAGACCCTCTCAGGGGTAATATTAGGACTAACAATACACACGATTCTAAGAAATGTCACTTTTTATAACAGCTGTGCTGAAATCTGGCATGCCAAATGGGGTTATTTTTTATTTTTATATGAGGTTTTTCCTTTCAAAGAGCAATTAAAATAATATTTTTGTAATACTTTGTGTTGCCTTTTAAACCGTATAACAGCATTAGTCTTCATTCTTGCACTGCTTTGTAGCAACAAAAAAATGTCATTCGAGCAAAACAAGCTCTACTTTCATGACATTGAGTAATTTAAACATTGAAACACAAATTGTCAACGCACCTAACATTTACTCCATCGTGATTGTCTCCTTCACAAGTTTAACATATTAATGCACAACATCAAATGTTGTACACTTAAACAAGTTTTCGATTGTCGTTTTCCAACTACCCTCGCTGCCATTACAACTTCCCTCGTTAAAATTGAACTGTAAAGTGTTTTTTTATATATAAATGCAAAATGAACGCCTGCCATTGTCAATATTGAAAGCTTATGATGGTTTGTGGTTCAAAGTACGCCGAGATTTGATTATATTTATATGGCCATATGTTTGGTTGCCTAGAAGCCCTAAGTGTTTGTGAGTGTTGGTAGTTGGCATGAGTTAAAAGTGATGGTTTAGAATAAAGCTGGAGATTAGTTGCGAAGTTTGGTGTGTACAGTGTGGGATTGGTAGCTTCAAGATGAAATTAAAGTGAGTCAATCACTCTGCATCCCTCTCACTGTGATTACTGAGAACAGCTGAACATTAAACAATTTATATTGATACAGCATTGGCAGGTGTATAAGCACGTACAGCATCAAACAAAACACAATGCATCCTATGAAGGATGGGCCAAAGCAGAATCGTTGCCTCTTGCATATATATAATTCTCTTGTTAGGGAAGAATCATTGACAAACGTGTGTTTTGTAATAACGTACGATATATTGCAAT